GACTCAGAAAGATGTCCCAACCTTTTGTGCCACAACTCCAGTGACTTTTCATCTGAGAGATAAGATTTCTCAGATTTCTTGTACTTCACCTCTAGCAATCTGAACAGGTTACCATCAGCAACTCCATTGCAAACAACCTGTCCATTCTTCTCTATGGTGCAAGACTCCCTTCCACCCCAAAAATGTACATCAAAACCAGCAGTTGTGAGCTTGCTCACTGACATCAGGTTTCTGACAAAATCAGGTACATATCTGACTTTCTCCAATATCAGAGTATGCCTTTTGTCCTTGTTTTCTCCTCCAACAAAAGTCACAGGGACAGTTCCTACTCCAAGAATTGGAGATTCATCACCATTTCCACTCTCTACATATCTCAACACCTTCTTCATGCTCTCAAACATATGACTCTCATAACTCATATGAGAGCTACAAGCAGAGTCCAAGTACCAACCAGGATATCTCACTTTCTCAGACTTCCTCTCAACACTCATGTTGCTAAAATCACTCTCTTCATCATCTGAAAAAAGTTCCTCAACCAAGTTGGCTCTCTCCTTCTTCTTCACCACTCTCTTGTGCTTCTCAGGTCTCTGATTAGCCTTGGAAGAATCTATGCTCTTCGTAGAGACACCTTTTTGCACTGGAAACTCAGATGACCTCTCACCACAAGAATAACAGCTCCGAGTCTCTTTGCTCTTCCCTTGTGTACCACTTTTCTGTCCCCACTTCTTCCTTTTGTCAGCAAGAAGAGCAACTTCCTTACTAGATCTATCAAATCTAGTAGCAAATGTGACTATCTTGTTGTATGCATAGTCCCATGACACTTGTTCATCAGGAAGAGAATCAAGTGACAGAATTATGGGCTCATACTTTGGAGAAAGGCTAGCAAATAGATGTGCAACCCTGAAATGTGGAGGGATAATCAGACCTGACTCACCTATTCTAGTAAAGCATGAATGAAGCTTGGCCATGTGCCCTATCACATCATGATCATCATCATCAAGCTTCAAGGTAGACATCTCAGCCCACCTCAACCTTGCATCGGCGAATAATCCGATCTTGCTCACAGCTTTGAGCTTGGACCAAATATCCCATGCATATGGAATATCTTCCACCATCTCAAGGTTGGCATTGTTGAGAGTATCCTTCAAGAGCCTCAACGTGACAAGATGATTATGTTCAAACACCTCATCAGCAAAGCTCTCCTCAATGTTCTCAAGAGGAGAACTGCAATATCTCAAGTACCCATACAATTTCAAAATCTCCTCCATGTTCCGGGACCATCTTATGTAGTTGAGTGTATTCAGCTTCTCAACTCTGTCAATCTCTCTACCCCAATGTGGGCCCATAACCTTTTGATATTCTGAACTTTGTTGCAGCATTTCATTAGGATGTCTCCTAGATGAATCACCAGCAGTGCCTGACCTCTCTATTGACTCTCCTGGAGTAGCCATAGCTTGCTACTACTCTCCCTTACCCTCAGGTGGGCTATGAAGAAAAAACACTGAGATCAAACTCTAGATAGTACTCCCCACTCCTGAATTGAGACCAACTCGAAATTTAGCTAGAGTACTAACTCCACCCCCACTTCCCAGCAATCCAACACTCAAGGTGTGATCAATACCCGAGGCAATGACCATTGGCAAGGTGAACACTTGATCTGATTGCTTTACTAACAGACTAGCAATATATACACTTATCAGGCTGAGCTTTGAGCCTGGTCACACAAATTCGAAACCCTAAACCATAGTGGCTGGAGACTCCTTGGCCACAAAGGTAACCCTAAATGAAAAACCCTAAAGTAAATTTCTATTTACTGTTAGTCCTGAGTTACTAATCTGGTCTGACTCTGAGATTAATTCACAACATATTTATTTATTTATTTTGGGTTGACAACTCACTTTAGGGGTAAGTAACCAAAGTTTAAGGTTTTTAGAACTGTACTCATTAGTATATGGGTTCTCAACAAACAGTGTACTCATACATGGCAGCCAACTCATAGAGTCAAGATATCTTAATATCAATATCTCCTCATCGATAAGAGTAACTCGTATTATTCGTTTTCTGTCCGGTCCTCGATTGGCCTCACGAGCACTTGCTTTTGCACAGGGTTATTTCATCCACCCATTCCTTTTGCCCTCAGCATTTGTTAATTTGTGTATGTCAAAGGCCAGGTGTTGTACTAAGAAATGCACTAATTCTTAATTAGAAGTCTAAGAATCTTCTTGCGGCTGAATCAGATGCAACTGACCATTCCACAGTACCTATTGCACTGTCCAACTCTTAGATCGAGATCTGGATCAAAGGGATGATGGATGTCATTCGATCACTCAGAAGACTCCTCTATCATCCAGTCTTGGATGGAGTTGTTGACAAAGGAGACTCAGGCCTCGAGAACCTTGCTACCTATCTAGATCTCATCGGAGAAGCTCAGTTCGGAGGTCTCATTGCATCTATTAAAGTTTCTATTTCACTTGCTTACAAGGTACACCGACAACCCAACTGCTGGCACGAGCATCGGTTGTGCGCAGTTCTCTTCATACTTCTGGATACAATAAAATTAAGGTTCTAGTCAGTGTGCATTAGTATCAAATTCATCTTGTACCTTCTCAGAATCAGTTTTTTTTGTCGAAAGTAGAAATACGTTTGAACCATCTGAATCTGGCTATTTCAAGCTTGTTCATCATGCTGACTGACATTTGTGCCTTAAAAGTCTCTTGGACAATTTGTGAGGCAGTGTGGCACAATCATGTTCCTGAATGTTTGAGGCTTTGCATAGTCGTGTAGGACGCAGACAAGAATAAGGTCACGTTCAAGCCTTACGTGGATACGGCCATCAAAAGCAAATTTATCTCCAAGCAGAGTATGCGAGATGAGGTCAGTGCTCCTATCTTCCGGGGATTTCACGAGCTTGAACAATCTTGTCTTTTCCCAGTAGGAATAGTTTTTTCGCACACGTTGAACTACTATTACTCACAGTCGATTACGTGTTATATTACAACACACAATCAATGTAATTACAGTGAACACTTGATGGGCCTCAGATACTTGAATTTACAGTCAATGTTCAAGTATCATAAGTAGATCGTGTGAATTTCAGGGCCTGAGTTGTAGTGCACGATCAATATACTTTCTGTAGATATGCTTTTTGTGATAAATACATGAGAGACAGTTGGTCTCTAATGTCAGTTACATGCCATACCCTAACTTCAGGTTTCGGTAGAAAGTTGAAAACTGGTATAATATATATATATATTTTGATATTCTGAACTTTGTTGCAGCATTTCATTAGGATGTCTCCTAGATGAATCACCAGTAGTGCTTGACCTCTCAATTGACTCTCCTGGAGTAACCGTAGCTTGCTACTACTCTCCCTTATCCTCAGGTGGGCTATGAAGAAAAACACTGAGATCAAACTCTAGATAGTACTCCCCACTCCTGAATTGAGACCAACTCGAAATTCAGCTAGAGTACTAACTCCACCTCCACTTCCCAGCAATCCAACACTCAAGGTGTGATCAATACCTGAGGCAATGACTATTGGCAAGGTGAACACTTGATCTAATTGCTTTACTAACAGACTAGCAATATATACACTTCTCAGGCTGAGCTTTGAGCCTGGTCACACAAATTCGAAACCCTAAACCATAGTGGCTGGAGACTCCTTAGCCACAAAGGTAACCCTAAATGAAAAACCCTAAAGTAAATTTCTATTTACTTGTAGTCATGAGTTACTAATCTGGTCTGACTCTGAGATTAATTCACAACAATATATATATATTAATATTATAACAGACGAATATGACAGATACTGTTTTTCTTTCTCAGATTGAGGCAGGTTCTCGAGATCTCGAGATGTTTAAAAATGACATTCTCCGCTACAGAACCGAGATAAAAGAAATCGAGGCTGCACCGAATAGTGCCGATATAGTATGCATCATTCTTCTTGCTGTGGTTCGAAATGACTTTGAAAGTCACCATGTGCGTTCAATTGAAAGTATTATCAGTGAAAATTCAGAAGTGAACACTACTTATTCGCCTGTAATTGCCAATTTGAGGAGGAAACAGTTTAATGACTAGCTAGCTATGTTTCTTCACTTGAACAGGGAATTTTACACATCAACTATGTTTATCTGAAGGAGACTCTTCTACCCTTCCCTCAAGAAGCGCTGCAAAACATATATCAGTTACTCCCACAACTTGCGAATGAGCATTACACGGTAACCCTGCTGGTCAAGCTACACGACTGTATCTATGTTGGCGTTTGCCTCAACCCATTGTCGTTATTGTAAATCTTTTTCTGGCAAGCGGCCGATATATACATATGAAAGCAATCTTGGGTTGCCCATTCCATTACAGTTTATACTAAGAAGTTAAATTTAAACCCCTTATGTAAAAGCTCGCTTTATTTAATTTGAAGATGTTACCACCCTTATGTTGTTTGAACCTCCTTTGTCTTCTGAAGATAGTCATCACAGCAGCTCACCTTTTCTTTTTGTCAACCTGTTTTATGTAGATAAGTAGCAAACTCAGTTTGTCCAGTTAGTTTTGTTTAGCATGAAGTTTGCTTATGCTCGATGGCTCATACTGACTTCAAGTATGCATAAACTAGGTACTGCACAAGGTTTTACTTCTGAATGAGAAGGATAATTTGAAATGTAGGTGTTTATTAATGAGATACATGCGTCTGAGAAGAAGATGGCCGTCAAACCAACCACAGTAGAAGAGTTTGTTGATATTGCTAATTTTGCGGAGGTCTGGAAACTTGCACGAGCCTTACCTTGAAAGTTGTTTTGAAAGTTTTACTTGTATCTAAGCTGAACAAATAAACATTGCAGATCAGTGAATTTTTCATGTGCTTTTGAAACGAAGAAAGCAAGTTACCAGGTTTAAGACACGTCACGGATTTACACATTTAGAAAATTGCTCTGAGCGATAATCTGACAGTAATCCCTCAGAGCATGTGGAGCTGTTACGGTAAAGTAAATCGAGAGTAGCTACTTCAGGCTTATAGTTTAATTGGGTTTAGCGCACCGCTCCGCTCATACGGTGAAATTGTAGGTTCGAGTCATACTAAACCTGACATAGAAGTCGTTCCAACAAATGGCAGAGATGATACAGCTCTAGAGGAATTTCGGATGGAGACTGGAAGGATTCAGCCTTGCTCAATCTTGGATTTTGTCAAAATTGCATTGCAGGCCTTCCATTCTAAGCTAGATAAACTCGAAATCGAGTTTGATCTCATCCACGACCATTATGCCTTGATGAGAGACCACAACATTCCGATCCCCGATCTTGAGTATGCTTCCTATTTGATGATGAACAATGACTTTCAAGCCTGTAAAGAGGCTATGGAGATTGTAGAAGAGACAAAGAATGAGAACATTAAAAGATTCAGTTCTGACTTGGCTGTAGAAGTTGACAAGCTGAGAAAAGATGTCATCACCATAAGAGAAACAGCACAGAACCCTATGACTCTTGATCCAGGTCCGCGTTACTTTTGAACCAGGTTCAGCTGATGTCTTCAGAGCTTAGAACTATTTTTACACAAATGTTTTGTAGTGTTTTCGTTTGTCTCCCGGCCACAATGCTTGAAGAAAAAAAAAGTATGTCTAAAAAATTTGGACGTCCTTTCAAAGTTAGGTCATAAAATTTGCTTGTTGTATACTTCTAGAGGTACATATGGGATTCATATATGCATACACTGGTCTTAAGTATCACATGGCCAGCGTTAAGTGTATTGGTTGTACAGGTGTCGTCCGGAACTAGGATCGAAAGAGGTTTTATTTTGGTTGTTGAGATCTGAAGATAATGTGCCTTCACCCATGTCGACCTTAGTTTATTGTTTGCTCCTGTATATACAGATGCTGATCAGGAGGTGGTACTAGAATACATGTCTAAATTGAATCAAGATGTGACAACCCAGAAGGTTGCTGCACAACGTATTGTGATGTACCAGAAGCTGTTTCAAGTAAGAATTGTTTAGTCTCACCATAAATTTATATTCCGTATCCAAATACTCTCGACAACACCTTCAAGACTTTAGAGCGTGAAATCCAATATTGACGAGTGAAAGCCAAGTCTTGGTGCTTCTTTACATGGCTTGGTAAATTCGCAAGAGCGCTATATCATATGGATATGCTGAAATACTGTAGAGTCGAGATATCTTCTCCACTTGTCATGTCTCTTTAGTTATATAGATTTTTGAAATTCAGTGTATACATGTGATCCACTTCCACATGATGTCTCTCTTTATGGGACAGGTCATGTGGACTCTCCTGAAGTAGCAATATATATAGCTTTTAGGCTCAGCTTTGACACACATATCCGAAACCCTAATCCATAGTGTCCGGTGACTCATCAGCCCTTGGTAACCCTAAAGTAAATAACTATTTACCTCTTATAAGTTTTATAGTCAATCCAATTTTCATTTTACTATTACTAAGTTCCTGCTATGGTATGACTATGAGATTAATTCACAACATAGATCTAACTGTAGTTTTTTTTGTGCAACCATGCACTTTTAGGACACTTTGTTTCATATGTTCATCATTCGTAAGGTAATCTGCTTGGACAAAAGGTGCTATGGACTGTGTCATTACGTTTGACTAAATCATCTTCTGTCGTCAAGTTGATGTTGCTTTTACTCTTACTTGTCGTTTCAAGATATCTGAATGTTTGCTTTCGTTGATGTTAAAATTGATAACTCATTTACTCAATTTACCATATATGTTAGGCACTTCTAACTATTACACTTGACTTGATGTTTGTTTAAGGTGGATGAATCACGATTTGATGATTTGTTGCAAGCAGCAGAGGAAGTGGATTTGCGATATTCTTTATGGCAGGGTCTCAAGGAATTGGCTGAAAAGTCAGGTGCTTGGATAGCGACCCATTTTGAAAGCCTTGATACTCAGGAAGTAGAAGAAGTAGTCAATAAGTAAGTAAACAAATTTGCTCGCGAACTTCTGTGCTGTACTTGTTAATTCGTACACTAATGTAACTGGTATTTCCGATACCTTTTCTGTCTAAGATATTCATGTAACAAGGAATATGATAAATATTCGTTCTATGTTAGCTCTTCTATGTTAGCTCATATAACATAACTATTGGCGCGCATGCAGGTCCTCACATTAACGCATGCAGTGTAGTTCCAAAGAGGAATCGATTTGTGCAAGGGTAGTTGTAAGATTGATATTAATCTTGAGATCATATTGATTTTCCGTCTATCCCTTTGGCTGGTTTGTAGATATGCCAAGCTCACGGTAAAGCTGGAGAGAGGAATAGTTCCCAATCCAGTGGTGCAAAGACTGAGAAAGCAAGTCGATGATTTACGTTTGTCAGTCCCCGTCATGCAAAACATGAGGAATAAATGTCTTAGAGACAGACACTGGAAGAAGATTGAGTTGGAAATCAGTCATAAGGTAAGAGTTCTATGTTTTATCTTCAGTTAGAGGCAATTGAGCTACTTGAAGAAAAAGCAAAGTCGTAGCTGCCATTTGACTATATGAGTTCCACTTTGATTGCTAAGTTCAAGACATAGTCGATGATATTTTGATTAAATTTTACAATATCTGGTTGTTTTTCAAAGATCGAAAGGAATGCACAGTTTACTCTAGGAAAGTTGATTGAGTACAATGTAATGGAGTATAAAGCCGCAATTGCCAACATTTCAAACGAGGCAACACAAGAAGCAGCTTTGGAAGAGCTTATGGAGGGTGTGAAACAAAAGGTAATAACAAAGTCTGATAAGATTTAATATTCCCTTTCATATTGATAGTACAAGAAGACATCATATAAGTGGATTATAAAATTAATTTGATATGAAGCAAACATGATACTCCAAAAGCAATTGATAGTTTTCGGGGAACATTTTTCTTCTCACAAATTCTCCAGGTCATAGCCTCCTGGATTCAACGCTAGGGTATCAGAGATAGCCTAGCGTTGAAGCATATGATGTATGCTTACATCATATGCTTACTGATTACTGTGATTAAAAAATAGAGTCCGAACCCTTGTTATCGGAGGACATTTTTCTGGTTTTCCCACACAAGAAATGTAACGAAGTGAAATCATTGTATTTTCCTTATTATTAGAGCGAAATTTTTTACTTTATATATCTGGTTGTGATAATAAATGAACGATTTCTATGTTCAAATCATGCAGTGGAGTACAATTGAATTTGTCGTTAAGCAATACAAGGAATTCAAAGATGTCTACGTGCTTGGGGGTGTTGATGATGTGCTATCTGCATTGGAGGATTCAATGGTTACAATGAATACAGTAACTTCCTCAAGGTTTGTCTCTCTGACTTGTGTCCATGGGGTTGTCAGTTTCTACCTAAGGCCTTCTACGTACTACTCATTGAGACCACAGGTAGACTAATGATTAAAACGACCACGGTAATTGTTTGTTGTAAAGTTTTTTGCAATTAACATTCTATATTTTTTTTGATACTGAGTTCTATGCTGCAACTATTTAAGTATGAAAAAATTAGGGGCTCGCAATGGGCTGGAGATCTAGATAGAATGGAGAAGATAAACATTCTTAATCACAGACGATGATTTTAAAACATAGAGAAGATATTGAAACTCTATGGATATTGGAACTGCTGAAAATCTCATCCTGAGAACATATAGCAGAGCCTTGCAGATGTTGTATTTGAGCTGAATCACATGGTCACCACGAGGCTCTTGAAGAAGACTCTAAACGAGATCAACCTAGAAATGGTTGAAGATATCCCATATGCATGGGATATTTGGGCCAATCTAAGGACTGTGAACAAAATTGAAATCTTTTTCAAGAGGCAGGATATTCAGCTTAAACACTTCATCTGCAAAGCTTTGCTCTATGCTGTCGGGGGAAAATTTACAATACCTCAATTCTTAGTCTATGAGATTCTGTATCCGTACAAATGATGGTGCTAACATATGTATACCTGTTTTTTTTTCTAGATATGTTGCGGGAATAAAAGGTGAGGTGGATAAAATGGAAGGACAGCTCAAACATTTCGGTAAAACATTGGACCAGTGGTGTGAATGCCAGAAGCAGTGGATGTACCTGGAAAGTATATTCAGTGCTCCTGACATTCAACGACAACTGCCAAACGAGAGCAAGGCATTCTTTGCCGTGGACAAGCAGTTCAAAGATATCATGAAGCGTACCCATGACAGGTATGTGGATTGCAACCAGATTCACATTTCTGCATGAGGGTTGTGTGGATAATATTTTGTGCACCGAGTACTCTGTCATGCTTGTTCTTATCAAACTGTGCTCTGGCTTTACTCTGGGTCCCCGTAATAGAGAACTACATTCAGTTGCCTATTTCATTTCTTATATATTACCCCTTTTTTACCGATGAATCTAGTGTTGATGGTACGTTTCTAACCCCATCATTAATATACCATCAATATACCATCAAACGAAGAAACCTGAGCACAGGAAACAGATATCAAAATCATGACTGTCAGCAAAGCAAGTAGCAACTAAGTTTTTATCATGCAGGGCAAACGCACTGCAAGCAGGCACATCCCCTGGTTGGCTAGAAACTTTCCAAAAGAGCAATGAGACTCTAGAGAAGATTCAAAAGAATCTCGAAGATTATCTTGAAACGAAGCGCATGGCTTTCCCAAGATTTTACTTTCTTTCGAACGACGAGCTGCTGGAAATTCTCGCACAAACACGAAACGTGCAAGCTGTGCAACCTCATATGTCTAAGTGCTTCGGTAAACTTTGTCTTTATAAAAGATTGTACTCTCCTAAACAAACATGCTAATGGTTAACAGATGAAATTGCAGCTCGGACTAGTCCAATGTCACTCTGGGCCTTCGCGCTTTAACTGTGAAGTATAAAAGTACTTCAAGTTTACTGATTTGGCTGAATAGATTACTTCTGGATTTCCATCAGGCTTATACTTTCCTGACAGTCGGGAGGCCTAGGCTTCGGCGTTCTAAGTGCAATGGCTAATTCAATTTGATGACAACAGATGGCATTCGAAGTTTAGACTTTGGTGAAGATCCTAAAAGCATAGACATATATGCTATGATATCTGGAGAGGGAGAAAGAGTTGGTCTGGGCAAAAAT